TTCAGTGAGGAGGAGATGGATACAGTCAACAAGGAAGAAGTTCCCTGTGTGTCTGGGAGAAATATTGATGGAGATGGGTGTTGGGAAGGGCTTCCGCAGGAAATGGGCTTGAGCGGAATCTGGGAGTTGCGTATCTTGGGGAGGAATTTCTAGGCAGAGCAAATGCCTACTCTTGATATACTGCTCCTAACTAGCCAAAGCTGGCACTGATTAGACCCAGTTCTCACTCTCAATACCTACATCTGCTCACATGGACTTGAACGAGACAAATACAAGCTACCATGGTGAACTCACTGTTTTGGTTAGGGTTTTTATATTGCTGTGAAGAGACACCATGAGCATGGCAGCTCTTACAAAGAAAACATTTCATTGGGGTGTCTTGCTTACAGTTTCAGAGGTTCAGTCCATTATCCTCATGAAGGGAGCATGTGGCATGTAGGCAGAAGTGTTGCTGGAGTAGTAGCTGAGAGTCCTACATCTTGCAAGCAACAGGAAGTCAACTGAGACACTGGGTGATATCCTGAGCATGGGAATTCTCATAGCCTGCTGCCACAGTGACAGACTTCCTCCAACAAGGCCATACCCACTTCAACAAAGACACCCTTCCTAATAGTGTCATTCCCTATGAGATTATGGGGGCCAATTCCACTCAAACTTGTTGTGGGATAATGCTCTTGTACACTGTAAAGATTTGTCACTCACATTGGTTTAATAAAATGCTGAATGGCCAGTAGCAAGGCAGGAAGTATAGGCAGGGCAACCAGACTAGGAGAATTCTGGAAAGAGGAAAGGCAGAGGTTCAGTCACCAACGTGACACAGAGGAAGCAAGATGAGAATGCCTTACTGATAAAAAGGTACCAAGCCATGTGACTAAACATACACACGAATTATGGGTTAGTTTAAGTTGTAAGAGCTAGTTAATAGTAAGCCTGAGCTAACAGAACAAACAGTTTAGAATTAATATAAGCCTCTGTGTGTTTCTTTGGGACTGAATGGCTGAGGGACCAGGTGGGACAGAAATTTCTGTCTATCAAACTATCACACTTACTTTAGTGAACTTTATGCCTAGAGACTCCAGGTGGGGTTGGGCAGCTCAGAGGACTTTTCTGTCTCCTGGGTCACTCACACTTTTACTCCACAAAATGGTCAGTTTCCAGCAGGCACTTCGCTACCTACTCACTTCCTATTTTACCGGGGGAAAAAAATCCAGGCCATTCGAATGGCTTACATTCTATTAATAAGATCTCAGTATCATTATCCTTACTGACTCATCAGTTGCTCAAAGTCTTCCCTCTCTGTTATCATGGATGGGAGTGCACTGAAATTCTGGCCCCGTCTCTGCAGGATGTCACGCCTCACACTCCTCTTCCTTCCACAGTAACAATGCTTTCTCCACAGGCCCTACTCATCAGGTCATTCCTGTCAGCTTTGAAGCAGGCCCCACTACCTCCAATATGTTCTCAGTTTCTAATTTTTGTGGTACTGAGTATCAAACTCAGGGTCTGCTTATGTGTAGATGGAAGGCTCTCGTGTCTCTAGCTGGATCCCACTGGACCGGTTTCTCTCCATGTACAGGGTCCCCAAAGTCGCTAATGAAATAATCACGCAGAGGCTTAACGTCAGTTACAATGGTCTGGACAATGGCTTAGGTTTTTTCTTACTTGCTCTCTCTATAAATCAATCAATTTCTGTTAGTTTTTATTTACTGTGAGGCTTGTGGTTTGTTACCTCACCTTTTGCTTCTTGGGTGGCTACTTAGCACCCCTCCAACTCCATCTACTCTCTCTCTGTATCTTTGTTTAGACTTCCTACCTGGCTTTACTCTGCTAAGCCATTGTCCAAAATAACCTTATTCATCAACCAATAAAAGCAACACATATCCAGAAGGACATCCCACACCACTTACTCTAGGCAAACGATCTCCCATTGAGATATATCTCCAGCCCTCTTTTTATTTCTAATCTTGAGACAGGGTCTCACTAAATTGTTTATGCTAGCCTTGAACTTACTTTGTAGTCCAGGCAGGCGGTGGACTTAGGACTTTCCTGACTTACTCTCTTGAGTAGCTGGAATGACATGCCCAGATCTAGCAGTAGTTTGCTTTTTTAAACAACTGATAGTCAAGAATGAACAGATCTTTTAAGACTATCCATCCATCAGTTATCCATTAATCAATCTGTTAATTCAATGTGTGTGTTATTGGAGCAGAATCTACCATATAGCTTCTGGAAATCAAACCCAAGTCATCAGGCTTGGCAGCAAGTGCCAATACCCACTGAGCTAGCTCACTAGCCCTGAACACATCTTCTGAGAGAACAGTTCACAGATGTTTTCAAGAACACGAAACAGACAAAAACTGGCCTACATTAAATAATTGTGACTGGGATTCTAAATCTTGTGAGCAGAATTGGAATAACCTTGATCTCTTCAGCATTAAACCACAACAGTAAAAGATTCATAGCTTCCTGACTGTTTTGGGCATCGTGTGTGGGTCTTTTGATTACAATTTGTCTGTGTATCACATGTGTGCAGTGTTTAGAGAGGCCAGAAGAGGGTGTTGCAGAGTTGTGAGCCATGTGGGTGCTGGGAATAAAACCCAGGTCCTCTGGAATAGCAGCCTAGTGCTCTTAACGCTGACCCACGTCTCCAGTCCATATCCAGTACTTCCAAGGATCACATACATGATGGTGTATAGAGATGCCATCTTTATAAGCTGCTGTTATTTTTGCTATTGTTTTGGGGATGGAACCCAGGTCTTCATGTATGCCCGGCAGGTGTTCTACCACTGGGTTCTCCAGGTACAGGAGATTCTTATTTAATTCTGGGCAAGAGAGATGGCTCAACAGTTAAAGCACATATTGTCCTTGTGCAGGAGTGGAGTTCAATACCCATTACTTACACAGTACTTATACAACCACCTATTACTCCAGCTCTGAGGTATCTGTTCTCTCTCCGGACTCCAAGGACCTCTGTACACCTATCACACATACACATACACACAATTTAAAAAATAAATCTTTAAAACTTAGTTCTGGTATACTGCTTTATAGCAGTATCCATCGTGTGTGTGTGTGTGTGTGTGTGTGTGTGTGTGTGTACGCACGCACACATACAGGTACACATGAATGCTCTTCCCACCCCAGAAATGCTGTTAAAATGCAGATTTGGGATTAGTAGGTTAGGGCTGGAACCTGTGACTTTTAATTCTCAACAAACATCCTGGACTTTCGGAGTCTAAAGGTCAGCGAACCATTCTTCGTGCTTACAGAATATAAAGCACTTTTATACATATTATCTTACTTGTTCCTTGTCTCCGTCCTATAGAGATTTATCAAGACATAAATGTTTAACCAAACCCCGAGTATATACAATATAGTGTAATGAAGTGGATAGCTGACCAGTTGGCAAACAAAAAGGACGTACAGATACAGCTGGAATTGACCCTCCATATCTAGAGTTCTGCATCTGATCAACAAGGGTGAAAAATACTCAGAATAGAAAAATGTGTTTGTGCTAAACACATACAGATGCCATTTCCTTTTCATGACTACTGATAAAAACATACAAGTCAACAATTATTTACATGCATTTACATCTCATTCGGCGGTATAAGCGGTCTGTCTGGAGACATGTAGAGTGGATGGGAAGAAGTCTGCAGATTAGTGTCTTCGGTATACCCTGGATTTAAAAAGCCTTCAAAACCAAGCAGGAAATAAAGGTGAGGTGGGGGTTAACTTTATGGGGAGGTGATTTCAGCAGGGAAGGAAAGAAGAGCTACCATAAGGTCACCAGCAGGCACTAGGCAGCACTAGGAAGTTCCATCCCAAATCGGGAGCGTCGGCACAGTGGCCTGGAGAAGTGAAGCCACGTTTTCTAAATAAGTCCCAAGTAAGTCTTGAGGGTTGAAGTTCACCAGTGACAGACCTGGGATTTGCTGTACATCACTGTGGCTGCTGTAATGTAAAAAATGTAAAATATCCCGGATCACCTGGGAGCTGTGTAGGTAGAGTAGGATTTCCTGGACCAAGGGTGCTGGAGGGGGTAGCAGAAAAGCCAGGACTGGCACCCTGGACCAGCTTCGGCCCCAAGAGTCCCCAAATGGACAACAAGCCTCTCTGGGCGCACGGAGGACGTCCAACACAAGTGTGCTCCATGGCATCATTTAACTTTAACAACCACTCCCCGTTTTCTTCTTTTCAGAGGACCTGGGCCTCCTTCTATGCTGCCTGATTATGAGGATCTCTGGGGCCCTTGTCCTTATGTGCCTCTCTGTTAGAGAAGACCGGGCCACAGCAACATCCTAGGTTTCCAGTCCCCTTGTTCCCGAGACAAGCCTGGCGTCGGGCTCTCTGGAGAAGCGGTGGCCCTGAGCAGCCAGGGGCCTGGACACCGAACTCCTGCACATTTGTCTCCTCCCTGGACACTCACTCCCCCAGCGCTGCCAGAGGTGGAGCCCGTGGGGCACACGCGAGAGGACCGGAGGGAGGCTCGGCTCTTCCCTGACTCTCAGGCAGCGCGCAGGAAAGCGCGTTGCAAACTGCTGGTCGCTCTCGCGGCTCGGCGCGGGACGCCAAGGCTCTGCGTGTCCAGCACAGGCCT